TGCCCCCCTGCCCTCCTTTAGTTTTGCCCCTGATTAGGCACCTGCTAATAATTAAATTCTATAAAATAATTTTTAAATACAAAATCCATTAACTAGGTACTTAAAACAATTAAAAGGACAGTAAAATCCAATATTTAATGGTTAGACAAACAATTATTAACTATATAAGATACAAATTTTCTTTTTATAATATCTTTTTAAAGAACAATGTTAGGGACGCAGAGCCACACAAAAGCATTTTTTGTTAGGTACTAGCTGACCAGCCTGACCATAWAATATATGTCGTATATTGCTCTACGAGTAAAATTTTTAACTGTTTGTTGTAAGACAATAAGTACTTTGAATTTAGATACAAATATTTTAAGAGGACTCTACAACCGTAATTTACATTTACAATAATACATTTTACTCTTTAAATTCTAAAATTAGAGTGAAATGGCCTTCAATGAAATTTAAAATTTAGATTATTATCTAGGGCATCTTATTATTATATTATTATATTATTATATTACTATATTTTAATTTTAAAGTGAATTGTAAGTATTTTAATACTTTAAATTGTTTGTACATCTTAAAATAGTCATAACCTGCTTTAAAATTAAAATATAATAAAATGCCTTTAGAGGCCCTAAATTTACCATGAGAGATCCTTTCACTCTCAGGTAGGTTAGGTACATCTAGTTGTTGATAATGAATTTTATAAAACAAACATAATATTGTATTTATCTATTAAAAATTTGTGTTTTTTAAACTGGTATGGTCAACTGACCTTTAGTTATATCGAGAAAAAATAAGGTATTTCATAATCGCGTCTTGTATAATCAGATTAAAAATATCAATATTTTTGAAAAAATTTTTTTTATTATACGATTACTTAACATTATGAAATTTAATATACCAATTAATACTTCCAAAAATGGACTTTCATATAAGGTATTTTTGTTAGTTTTTTTATCCAGAACTAAAACCTGAACTCAAGTAGTTAGTCACATATTTTTGTAGTATGTAATTAGAATCTGATGAATAATAAATATCTAACTACATGTATTTAGGTATTTAGTAGGGATTCCAGGGAAAGTTGGTATACGGTGTTTTGATTATTCAAACAGGCATTTTTTAGCAGCTCTAGAAAATGGGAAAATCTCTAGTCATTTATGCGAAATGACAAGAAACATTAAAGGTATGTCTTAGTAGTTAAAAATAAAATAAATTAGTAATTACACATTACACACTATTCCACACCACCCATGAGGTTGTGTGTCAGGTGCGTTTTTTTTAAAGTGGTGTCCCCAATAGGCCTAGTCCACTATGAGAAGTACAGAGGATTATTACTTGTACCGTGCAATTTTTTTTTTATTGAAGTATAGTAATTAGTATATTAACTTGACTTATATACTTGGTTATTTATGATTTTTAATCTAACAGAAAATGATGCAAATGTAGTATAAGTACCTATTATTTTAATAGATGGCGTTCATATTTAAATTTTGAATAATTTGTATAAAAATATCAAGTATATAGTTGAATTAATTTATTAGAATTTTAAGCTGCAAGAGCTTTATAATAATTTGTATTTTTGTACTTTCGGTGATGCATTTTTTTAAATTGTGCGTTTTAGAAGACCAAGTTTTAGAAGCTGTAAAAGTCATAACATACAATGGATATTCGTTAATAATTGAAGATATACAATTTTGTCACAAAAATTCAAATACATTTATCATTACACAGTTTGATTCTACAATAATATTATACAATGTTTATCAAGTTGGTAAAAATAACTATKAAATAATAGTAAATTGTTTAAATGTAATTTATTCACAGAAGGAACCACAAAAAATAATTTTTAATCCAAAACTAATAACTAGATTATGTTGGAGTTTAGAAAATGAGTTTATAGTGTACGTTGGTGAAGAGAATGGAGAACTTGCAAAAATTAATCTGACAAATGGGAAAACAGATTCAATCAAAAAATTTACATCTTGTGATATCACTGCAATGAATATTAATCCAAAAAGGTTTTAATTAAAAAGTTTAAGTGTTTGGGAATAACAATTTAATAATTTAATYGTTTTATACAGAAAAGATATTATTGCAATCGGTACAATACAAGGAGAAATATATATAATTAAATATGAACAGCCATTTACAACTTGAAAAAAAAAATTATTATGGTTTTATAACTGAATTCGGAATGTTATTTATATTTATACTATTTATGCAAAAATGTACAACATTTATTTAAGAGAAAAATTGTATTGATTTTGATTTTTTGTGCTGTAAAGAAGATGTTTTGGAATTGAAATTGTTTTAAAGAAYGACCATTTTTTGTTGTGGTGATAAACTGATGTAGAAAGGAATAAATAAATGTATGTGGTGTACTTGTAGTAGTATTGTTATAAGAATGAGATCGTATAAGGAATACTAACAGCTTAGGAATGGCTGTATTTCATTATTTTTTTTTTTTGTTTTTTTTTTTGTTTTTCTTTTTTTTTGGTTTTTACATTTTTTCCTAAAGTTATTGATAAAAAAAAAAATAGTATTGAGTTCACTTATTACACTAATTGAAAAAGAAAACACTACTAAATGTTTTAACATTAATAACAATTTTAAAGATATCTGTAAAACAATTTAAGTAAATAAAAATACATTTGAATATTGGTGATTCATCTTACACTTAATGGATTGGAATACTTAATTTTTTATAACTGTAACAGTCTCACAAAAAAAATTCCAATTCAACATTAATATTCTTAACATATATTTTTAAACAATAATAAAATAATTTATTATAAAAAAATAACACAGTAATATCACACCAATGGCCACATTCCTTATACGTATAATATCAACAATAATAGGATAGCCACTAAAACAGACACATACTGTGTTCCTTAAAACTAAATTGAAGAATTATCCATTATCGATCTACCTTAACTGATTAATACCTAACACACAATATAAGAAGTTTAATGAGATATGGTTTGTGCCCATTTTTTCAATCACACAATTTGTATATCAATATTATGTATAGCAAAAATCTATGTCAAAAATTAATATCGCATAAGTGACAACATATTATACAATATACAGTAATAGACAAACACACATATTGCTAACAATAAAAAACATATTGCTGTTTTACATTCTTTTTTTTTTAAGTCATCACTTATAGCAATTTACATTTTTGATTGTATTAAGTTCTTTGATATGAAATGCATACCAACCTCTAAAACACTTAAAGATACTAAATCTATTCTACTTGATACAGTCGGTGGAATAGTTAGTTTTTAATAGACAATTAGTAATAAACAATAATCTGTGATATAGAACTACAATACTTATTTAAGAGAGGTTGACATCATGATATTTAAATCCATTCACATTTTTTTTTAACAATCAATCTATTAAACATTTATACATTAATTTAATCTTTCAAACATTACACAAGATACAACACACATAAGGACTTACTATGTTTAATATAATTATGGTAAGTAAACCTTAAAAAAAATAATATTGTTCCGTATCACAATTGCACTTAAATAATATCAGAGAAGGATAAAAAGTGTATTTGAAGTAACATTTATTTTAACTTTTTTCACATACTTATGTTCATTATTTATAAAATTGATAATTAAATTAAAATTTGAATAAATATTAAGTAAAAAGGTAACTTTTAAAGGGATGGTGAAAATTCCACATATATCTAATTGAATTGATATATGATAAATGTTATATTATTTTCTTCTCATTTCATAGCTTTTAATTCAAATACAAATTTTACCAACAACTGACAAAAATAAAAATTGAATCGCTGATTTTATTATTATCACAAATATCACATTAATAAGTGAATAATATTTTTTAAATTTAAGTATTGGGTGGGGTGGGTATTGCTGACACAACACATTGATTGATAATATAGCTAGGTATGTATAAAAATTGTCTTATTAATCATAGATTTGATTTTTATAAATATTACAACCAATCAGCAATTCAATTATATTAATATATTATAGCAGTTTAAATTAATAATTTTCATATCTATCTATGTACTAATATTTGTATTGCATTAACTTGTAGTTCACCTAAACAAGTGACTAGATACTGATGCAACAATCAGTCCATGATGAGTTTTGCCACAAAAACAATAAAAAAATAATAATAATAATAATAATAATAATAATAATTAAAAACAACATTTACATTTAAATAATTATGATACTTAAGTTTAAAAATTTAGTTAAGAAAAGAGACTGATAATATAAGATAAAATAAAAGTTATTAATACATATAAAATTTAACTAAAATGTTGAAAATATTTAAAAGACAACTTCATCATGAATACGGGTAAGGGGGTCACATACAATTATATTTAAAATTTACATAGGTAGTAAGGTGAAGGGGAATACACTATGGTGATAAAAAATCACAATTAGTGTTATGTAAAATCAAATAATAATAATAATAATATTAATAATGAAATAAAAAACATTTGTCAACATTTAGATTCTGAAGAATATCTTAGATAGTTATGTTGAAGATAGGAGGTGATTTTTGCATAGATTTTGCTTGTGCTTGACAAGAATTAAGCCATTGCATTGGTGGTAATGGCAAATCTCCAGGAGACGGACAGTTATTGAATTTGGCACCAGCATAAAAGTTATCACCATTAGGTGAGCCGCATCGTTCATCAATGTTCATAAGTTGTTTGAGCAGGGCATATTTTTCAATAACCAATTGCTCTATATCATCTTCTTTAAATTTTTTGTAAGTACCATATCTTTGAGGGGATTCGTAAGATGGGGGAGTGTGATGTAATGGCACTTCTGGTAGATATTTATTCGGAGTGTCAATAGGCTGTGAGCATAACAATTGAGGTCTTCTATTTTTTATTATTTGGTTATTTTTAGCAACTTTATGTAAATTTGTTTTACTATCCATAATTTCATCTCCGTCCGACAAACTATGATCCATGAATTTCCTWACATTTGTTGGATTAGATTCATTATAATTTAGCTGTTTAACGCAATTAGGCATTTTTGATTTTGATTTCTTTGATTCATTAACTTTAGAATTTTTAGAGGGACTGAATTCTGCTTTAGGTACGTTTTTTGTTTTACTTCTATGTACATTGCTTGGTAAGCTGTTTCTCCTTGGACGAATTGGTTTGTACATGTTTATAATTTGCATTAAATTATACTTAATGAACAAYGTCAACCTATATATATAAAAAAAAATGTTTCTATTAATATCATTGTTTAAAATAACAAATAATTAACATGTAATGATTAAAATGAAACGTTCAGTAAATCACGTTTGTGTGTAAAATGGGGTTAAGTCATTTAAATAATATTTGGTATAAATTCAGTTTATTTCCCCCTCGCCATTTTGAATTTGTTTTTTATCGAAACTTGTAWAACTCGTTGAGTTGCAAATAATCAGAATTTCTCGTTCTTACTTTAGAAGTTAAAACCTTCCAAAGTTTGGATTTTATGTTTATACAAACGCACTGAATACTGCTTTATAACGTCGCGCATAGGATATCAAGTTTGGCGAACAATGGTGCATTTAGAATTTAGTTTTGAAGTTGTGGTGATAAAACGTCATAACTACTTATTTACTTTACTTATTTTTACGCCTAAGTTGTTGTTACTTACCCGCTAATTCCTCGCTCTCATGTAATTAAGAWAAACTAATACAAAAWAGACAAKACAGACAGTCTGATTCTATAGTTAATTATATATTTTAAAGATCCTATTATTTATAGTAAAAGTAGTTTATTTGATATCATTTTTGAATATGTTTATAAGTATATCTATAGTTCTTAAATCATAATTAAAATCTGATTAATTGGTCAATGGCTTATTTAATATGAGTCAGTTAAATTGATTCATGGTAAACAACTGTGTCTAGTACACTGCAAAAATTTATAATATTATTTTTGTTTTTATTTATCATAGTCAAATAATTATTAAAATTAATGTATTGTATAATAAACAAGATACAATACACTATAACCTCGACTATAAGTAATAATAGGTATTTACTATCTAGATATCAAGTTAATATTCAAATAATTATCTCATATCTGTATACTATAATTAAATTGTATGTACAATAGCAATACACATAGAGAGCAAAAGATGGTATTATAAAAACTTAGATAAAATTATAAGTTCAGTACCTGTAGCCACTTGATAATAAACAGTGTTTAAACAAAAATTTCCATTAGAAATTAAAGATAAAAATAATGGTAAATACCTCGGTAAATACTTTACAAACCATTACGGTGATACATGAATATAGTATAGCATTTCATTCAATACTGACCAGAGTTCCTATTTACTTTTTCCTATCATTATGAAATGTTCAGAGAAATAATTTTTTTGAGTTATGCTCACATACATACGAGCATAAATATTTAATTTTTTTTTTGTTTGTTTATAAATKTTAAGTTGTGACAAATAATTTCTGACAATTAGAATGTACCTATCTACTTAGATCTTGAAGAGTACTTCAGATAATTTTACAGATTAAAAGTATTTTATATAAAATTTTGTAGTAATATGTATCTATATTTTATGGAATCATTATAGTTTTAGTAAAAAAATAAAAGGAAAAATTGTTGAATATTTAAATTTATAGATTCCTTAGAACATTGGTTTTGTAAAATTTAATTAACAGAATATAATTATTTTTATAAGTGATACTGCAAAAAACAAAACTTAATAATGAATATGATGAAGAAGATTAAGTATAATCGAGGGTATAATTGATCTAATATTATGAGAACGAACAAAAAGTATAACTAATTATAACTACCTACTTCATAAGTACATTTATGGTAAATATAGTAGTTGCCGCTTATTGGACTAATAATTAATGGAATCAAATAGACTGGTCCTGATTTAAATGTAGGTATACTTACACATACGTAGGAAAAAATAATTTGTCTATTGGACCCACTCAGTGGAGACAAAGGTATTTTGAGAGCATAGCACATGCGGTTAAAAAAGTAACTTGCCTACCCATTTTTTTATTTAAAGAATAAATATTCTTAATGTACTCTACTCAATTGTGCGCTTATATATAATTTACTCAATTATACTCACTTATTAAGAGGACACCATTTGTTTTCTCCGTCGAACAAATGTACAACATGGCAAATTTTACGTTCACTATAATACGTTTTATCCTGTAATTTCTAAAACTAGAGTGAATTTTCCTCTTAAACATTTTAAAGGCAAAATATTATTTAGTAAAATTTGCCATATTATACATTTGTAAGACATAAACAACAAATGCCTGTGTGGTGTTCTCTTTAACACTTTAGTTCAAGAAATTAATTATTACAAACTATACCAAGTTTATATTATAAATGTATAAACTTCCTTGTGAAACCAATAATTTACATCTATCCCCCTAAGAGCACGTGCAGTTTAAGTACTAGGTTACCTGTATGGGCTCCACTGGTTTAATGGGTCAATATTTATTTTTAAGAGTACCTATATTCTGGAATTTTTTTTCAAACTTTCCCATCAAAAAAAAAGTATTTGAAAACATCAGTCAYTACCTATATACTAAACAATGGTTTTGAAAAAATTGATATTTTATAAATTATAACATTATCATTTCATTAAGAATGACAATGTATATTTGAAACACATAAAGAAATACATAATTAGGTAATATTCGAGGTAATAATGAAAATTTATCAGTACCTACATGGCCAAATTTAATTTTTTTAGTACAATAATATATCTATTTTAAATCTTAGACTGTTTGCTTGGTTTCGCCTTATTGAATTATTCAAAGGTCTTATATACTCTGATTCCAAAGTGAGTCCAATAAGCGGAGATTTTATTGTACCTATATTTTTAAGGTGATGGTATTTCATGAATAGTGGCGCAGCTAGGATTAAGAAAGGGGTTGGGAAGGAGGTTCAAGTATAAATTAAACAGTTTTACAATTTTTGCTAATAGTACATTTACCAAAGAAAAAAATATAACCGGCTTAAATAAATAACAAATAAATACAGCTGACTCTCGATAATTCAAAGTTCAATAATTTGAAAACCTTTAAATTCTCAGTCCGTTGAAAATCACCCGGTAAAATAAAAACAATGTATTTAAGTACACTCAGTAATTCAAAATTAAATTTTGGGAAAACTGTCCACTAAACGTGACAATTCAAAGTATTATCCATTCAACGCTCGGTAATTCAAAGAACCTACCTATATTAACCAAAAGCAAAAAAAATTAAGAAAAAAAACTAAATTCGATGGAAGCATAAAACCATTACAGATTTCTTCAAAAAATAATAACTAATAATCTTTTATAATTGTAATTTAATTTACACAGTATAATTATTATACAGTTTAATTTATAATTTAAAAACACTTTATTTGACAATATATAACTCTAATATGTACCACCTAATTTGCTGAAATAATTAATAATTATGTACAATACTAAAAAAATTTTTTTTCTTAACTCTCAGTAATTCGAATTTCTTTTTCTCACTTGTTATTTCAAACTACTCAAAAATTTGAACTCTCGATAATTCAAAGTTTTTCAACAGTACCATCTACTTTGAATTATTGAAAGTCGACTGTAAATCAATGAATAATAAACTTCAATAAAAGGGTTAACACCCAAAAGCCCCCCTAGCTACAAATCACGATAATTAATTAATTTGCCATTGATACCTCTAACGGCTCTAACTATTTAAATTACAGGTACACCTACTCATCAGCAGAAAAAAAATCTCAAAAATCTCAAATTATTAGAATTGACCAAAGGTTGGACAAATGCCAAACAAAGATTTGTGAACGCTTTGAGCGAGGCTGCATAGTTAGTTTCGTAAAGATAAAAATAAATTTAAATGATAAGATAGTCATCCCAAATCGGTACCTGTGACACTTGGTGCTCGTGCGATGTCCGCCTACGCGATTTCCAAGATGCAAGTAGGACAACACAATATTATAATATCATAGGTAATGATCATAGATCACTTTGTCAGCAAATATAACGTCTACAGCTCGGCTTAAAGCTTCACGATAACGGTAATAGTAACAGTAATAATAAYATCAAAACAACGAAGTCATTGGGCAGAGTACACTGGGTAGGTAGGTTAGGCACTTTCCATGGAATCGGCTCGAACATAGTAACATACATAGTACACTATTCGATCGCAATTGCCCGTTGCCCCACTCTCCTTCAATTCACCCCC